GAGGAAACGACGACCGATGCAGGAAGTGACTCCGACGAATAGTTCATGTATTTAATTTTCAACTTTACACTATTCTCGATTGTAATTTTCATTTAAAATATTGATACAAGTGAAAATGTAGTGTTTCAAATAAATAAACATCATTTATTCAATTTCATTGTACATTAAATTATTACATTAAAAAAAATTAAGGGATTGGACCGCCTGGGACCGGACCGGAACCAGACCGGGAACCGGCCGGGTAGACCGAACGGAACCGGGTACGGTATAAACCGGGTCGGTTCCGGTCTTCACAAATAAAACCCGGGACCGAGCGGTCCAGGACCGGAACCGGGACCGGGTCCACCCCTATCCCCATAGTACTCTTCAATTTTGAGGGCCCACATTGATATTAACTTTTACTGGGACTAGTGATGTAGTGCTGTTAGTAAATCAAGAGTTTCCTTACAAAATAGGCCTTCACCAAGCATCAAACTGTCCAAGTGTGACCATAAAACAATGAAAACAAGGTAGGATTGGCAAACACATTATTTAGGTTTATAAATCACCTGTTCATCTATGTCCTAAAGAAATGGTGTGAGCTTACTCTTGCACGGCTTTCCTAGCGGCATCCTCATGAGCTTTAATCTTCCTCTCCCATCTTCTCTTCCTATAATCAGCCAACATCGCCGGCATTTGCTGCATTAGTTCAGCTGTCTTTGCCCGCTTCTCCGCTGCAATTCTGTCACATTTATGCCCTTTCTGCTTCTTCCTCATTTCCTTCCTTTCTGGATCATATGTCCAATCCTGCCCAGCAAGTAGAACTTCTTTGCGGAGCCGGGCCCGCCTACGAGCACTTATGCCTAACGGTTTCCAGGCTCCAAGTTCCTAATAACCCCACACACCCTTTGACAGCTCATTCTTGTACTTCATCATCTTCTCTTGCAATGGGTATTGGTACTCTGAAACTGCTTTTGCTACAGATTTCACCACCTTCCTTGCCATTTGTCCTGTGGAAAAACTCGGGCAAGACCAATAACTTGCTAAGTATCTGCATCAAACATGGAAAATACAAGGAGAAAGAAAGTAGGATTGAAAATAGAGAGGACAATTTAAAGAAACAAATTTTTGGGGGAAAATAAAAGATAGACTCTGAACTCAAAACTTTTCTGTTTGATATTTGTTCGACCCATCTTATTTATTTATTTACTTATTTATTTTATTAAAGGAATAAGAAATTTTAGATATTTTAAAACCTCAGATGTTGTTCAAACATCATATAATATAAAATTTCATGTTGTTCAAACATTATATATTACTCCGTATAATTTTTTTTTGTTCTTTTTGGCAAATATAATATTTTATGTCGTTCAAAAGTTAGATATTTTTAAAATTATATATTATAAAATTTCATGTTGTTCAAACATTAAATATTTTTAAAATTATACGTAGTATATCATAAATTTCATGTTGTTCAAACATTATATATTACAAAGTTTCATGTTGTTCAAACATTAGATATTTTTAACTCCGATATCATATGTAGATTCATGTTAGTTTACCCCGAGCTCTTTTGGAATAAAGCTTGGACATTGTTGTTGTTGATAGAAGGAATATGAAATATAAATGCATTACCTCTTCAAGGTTAATTAAAATTTCATTTTTCTTGGTCTTTTCCAATGTGAAGTCAAACATAGGAGAATAACTTCATAGCATTTTGTTTTCATTTCCCTAGTATTTCTTGGGATCCAAGCATACCATATAGGTTACCAATCTGTAAGTAAGCTACAGCAAGGGCACTAAAGCTGGTTAAACTAAACAAATACGGAGAATATTCTTTTGATTTCGAAGAAAAAGCTGCATGAAAAATAAACCCCCCCCCCCCCCATAAACAAAAAAAATGTCATTTCCCATTCATTTTGATGCCCTTGATGCAAAAACTAATCCAGACAGTGTGGGAATGGATAAACTAGCCAATGGGGACTAGTAACGTTAACACATTATACTGATGGCTATTTTACTAAAAACGAACAGCATATAGAAATAAAAACAATGCAACTATTTCGGCCCTTTTCAGATGATTCAATCAATTGATCGAAAAAAAACATCTCCATCTTTACTGTTTACTGTACTAAGAAATTCAACGCGTGAAATTTGGAATTTTCTATTTTTTACATTTACATATCTATTTACATTTCTACGTTATATCTTTTGAATTTTCTATTTTTTACATTCCCATCATTTGTAATGGAGCCAAAGACTCACTATTTTTTGGCTTCGTAGTATGATGGAATAAAGCAAAATGGCTCACTAAACTGTCTATGTTTCTTTGTTATGAAGCCAATAGTTAGTCAATGCAATTTTCGATGCGAATTTCACTATGGTCATCCGGAAACAGTCTCTATGTGCTTTAGTACAAAGGTAAGACTGCGTACATCCAACCCCCCTTACCTCACCGTAGGTGAGAGCCTTTACGGCACTAGGGTGATGATGAAAATTAGATGTTGATTACACTTACACAGTTACACCAAATAAAATATTCTCCATGTGAACTTAAGTTAAAAACTTATAGGGAAAACTATCAAATAAGCCCCCGTACTATACCGAAAAAGTCAATTAGGCCCTCGTACTTTACAAACACTCAATTAAGTCCTCGAACTATTAAAAATCGTTCAATTGAGCCCTTTCGGTCAGTAAGTAACCGGTTTAATTTCCCGGTTAGATGTAACCCGTTTTCCGGCAGCCGCCGTTGCTGGGGTTCGAGCACATCATCACCATCGTCGCCGTCGTCGCCGTTTAACCGGGAAACCGGTTACTTACCGACCAAAATGGCTTAATTGAACGTTTTTTAATAGTTCGAGGACTTAATTGAGTGTTTGTAAAGTACGAGGGCCTAATCGACTTTTTCGGCATAGTACGGGGGCTTATTTGATAGTTTTCCCAAACTTATACAATTTGGCAGATTATATGTTGATGGAACTTTTAGAAACTTATTAATAATTATAATTATAATTATAATCATAATAATTATTATTATTATTATTATAATATGTATGCAATTCGGAGATTTCAAAACTTATACCATTAGGAAGATACGTTTTACTCCGTATACAGTTATCATTTATAATAGTTTTTACATCTTACTCTCTTTTGTATAATTTTTTGAACTTCAGTATTTATAAGGAAATTTCAAATATTATAACTATTTCTATATTTTGCTAATTTATTTGTAAACTAAATCAAATATCCATTAGCTTTACATTGTACCGTTGTACGTGAAGTTAGCACCATGTAATTTTTTTTTTACCCCGGAAGGCAAACCACCAAAATCAGTGGGGTAAATGTCGGGGGACATTTACCAAGATTTTGGGCCCGTTTGGATTACAGCGGGTGCGTGAAACCGCTGCCTCTTTTTTAACTTGAAACCGCTGCTAAAAGCAGCGGTTGGCTGCGGATCCGCCGATAAACAAACGTCCCCTTTATTAAGAACGAGATTGGGTACAAAACGAGAGGGGACTAAACCAATACCTCTTAGAAAAACAATTTGGCCTTTTTTTTATCTGAAATAGGGCAAACCCATCAAATCCGTTATTAAAGATTTCTTGATCAAGTGGGGAACATCATTCTGATTGAAATAGGAAATCATACTAGAGTGATTATCTGGAAAATTTTGTGCCAGGAGGTGAGCGGTCATATTGGCTTCTCTTAGTCTCTATATAGACTTGGCGTAGATGACAATTTGCGTGATTTAGATCCGTAAACTATATATTCCTTTTACATTGTACGTGAAGTTAGCACCCTGTACTCAAGTTATGTACTTCACAAATGAAAGCTTAGAATGGTAAATGTGTAATCTTAAATCTTCGAAGTATTTACATTGCGCACTTTTTTAGGGGAATTTACACTGCGCACTTAATTATATGAACTAATATATCTGAAAAAGAAAAACTTCTGTTCATCATATTTATATCTAACATTCAACTTTGGGGTATTCGGCCCACACTTATCAAATTTGGGGTATTTGAATAACTATACTCTTTTTTATTCTTCATGTTCCTCAGTGGTAAGCTAGTGTCTTGTAAAGAAAGAGGTAAAAACAGTATTTAAAGTTTAAATTTAGAACAAAAAAGACAGCTCCAACGTTGCTTAATTTAACAGAACATTCTGATTTCTCTCTATTCCAACTCCAATTATTCACTATTCAGTTCAACCAAATAAGCACACCATTAACTAGAAATGTCTCTCTGCATATAATAACCTACAATCAAACTTACAACAAACCCTCACAAATAAATTGGGGCATAAAATTGAATAGCATCGCAACAGGTTTTTCTTTCAAGAAAGGCATGAACTATTCTACCTCCTTTTGTTTATGTTAAGACACGAGGTTCCATCCTAAAAGGTCAACCTGATAGGAGGAGTAGCCTGAATCTTAATATAGTGTTTAATCATTCCAAAGATGTCCGGTGTGGGACATTTAACACCCCTCCTCACGACCAGACACTTCGTCTGGATCGTGTTATCATTCGTATTTATTTTTATCGGTCCGTTTTTTTTCATCCGGCCGTAATTGTCATTTTTTTTTATAATCGTGTCATCACGATTCATAAGGGGCTCCCACACCATGGATCGATTTGACTCTGATACCATGTTAAGACACGAGGTTCCATCCTAAAAGGTCAACCTGATAGGAGGAGTAGCCTGGATCTTAATATAGTGTTTAATCATTCCAAAGATGTCCGGTGTGGGACATTTAACAGTTTACGACTCTTTGAAGTCCTATTAAGCACGTCCGATTTATTTTCCTTTTTACCTGTTATTTGTGATCAATTAATTGCCTACAAGAGCTCTTAAAAAATAGTAAAGCAACACAAATCCTATATAATATTATTATAATATGTAGAATTATAATATAGAATGAATGCCCAGAACTAAAAATTAGTAATGAAAACATAAAAGCATAGTAGTCACGGCGCACGGCGACGGTCTTGGCGCAGGGTAATTTCACGCAGCGTTGGCGATGGCGCCAAAATGGCGCTCAAATGGCGCTCCAGTAAAACATAACATTAAAAAAATTTAAACATAACATATAGACAATATATACGTGTATGGCTTAACCACCAATTAAAGAGTGCAATTGTTAAATAACCAAAGTAGTACCAAAAATAATCCAAATCAAACCAACTTAATATCCATAACTAGTTAATGTCTAAAAAACAGAATTTAAAGTTTGATCTTTATGATATGTTGACTAATACTCATAGCCATCCCCCTCCTCGCTCACGTCTAGTCATCAGACCCATCTTCCTCATCTGACTCGGATAAGAAAGGAACTTCTTCCTCATTTATTTCACTATCAGAAGGATCTTGTATTATATCCATCTCATCTTCATCACGCAATTGATGTAGTGTTGATGTTGATGTCGATGCTCTAGTGTTGTAAGTCGTTTCATTAACGCCAGCTGCTTCTTCCACAACATTCCAATTTTCCATTTCATTTTTCTCTGCAGCCTCATCAATCCATTCATTACATGTATTCGGTTAACTTTTTATAAAAATTACATATTAGAGTATAAAAATCCACTGGGTTTTTCATGTTTCTTGTTTTTCTAAGGAAGCAAGCCTAAAGGCAGTTCAGTGAAGTGATCGGCCCTATGGTAGAGAATTGATTTTCTAATTAAAATTTCTTGCCACAAGCAAATGCCTTCTATGGGAAGGAAGCCTTAACTTGCACTTTACTCCTTGGATGGCTGCAGAAAACATGGAGTTTGAATTTGTTCATGAATTAAGTGTGTGTAGTGCTCTGTAACTTATCTAACTTATCCTAAGTAAGCTTGACTTATCCATGTAGTGGAGGATTTCTCTTGAAAAGTATATAACAGAGTACGGGGACTTTGTTTGTATCTTGAATGCCCCTTCAGTAGATGAGGAATTCGAATTGCTAAAACCTGAGTTCGAAATCTTAGGAAGTCTCAAGTCTTTCTTATTATATAAGTAATTAAGTTCCCCTGAATTAGTTGTAGCTGATTATGACATGCATCTTTCCTCCCTCAAAGTGGCATCTTTTTTATTGATATTTTTATTAGGTTAGCCTATGCTAATATGCCATCAAGTTAGCCTGTGCTTATTCCTATTATTATATCACAATATTTTTCTGAGTTTTGTTCTCCATGCAGGTTACACATTCGATCGGCTTGTTCCCATATTGGATCACCCCATGGTTTTGAGTTTTGTTCTCAATCAAGGTCGGATATTTAGGTTGGCCCATGCTTCTTATTAGTATTCCTTATTTTTAGTATTCCTAGATCACCATAATGACATAGGTCATCATTTGCTTATTGGAATTTTTTTAATGGAAAAACAGAAACCATGAATTCTTCTATATCTACATATGTAAGTTATTTAAGCACATATATTGAGCAATGTATTCTGACATAAAAATCATATGAATTACATTGAGCAAGTGAATTCTAAATGTTCCTTCCAAGTTATTCTTCCACCTTTAATTTATTTGAATTTAAAACAAGCATCACGGCAGGGCAAAAACACCATTCTAAAGTTGATACTCATTGTGAGTAACTCACGAGGGGTGATCCGCTGCAATTGTCATTAGAAGCATCAGTACTCTTTTGTCTTGGAGACATACAGACAATTTGACACTAGCAGCAACATCATCATCACCATAATTATGTGAGAGTTATATGTGACTTTTTCTTCTTATTGGCTTACTTAATCTATTAGGCTATAATAATGCTATATATAATCATAATATTTAACCATTTGGCATGAGTAATAAAAGAGTATAATAGTTTTAATTCTCAAGCATATTTACACAAGTCACACTTCTTCACCCTTTATCATCAATTTATTCACTAAATAGTAAAGTTTGATATGCAACTTAAGAGTATTTGAAATCGATTGTTTATTTCTTTTTTGGAAATTAGGTTTTTCCATGAAGTATGTTTTTTAGCTTAAGGGTTCTATTTTTCTTCTTCTTTTACATAAAGTATGTTTTTGAGCTTTTCCTGTTACATGCAAAAACGGTGCCTTTGCAGGTGAGTAGGTGATGACCTGTTGAGAGATCATCAATCTATACTTTCCGGTAAATTAGTTTTGAAAATCTGCATTCTTTTAAACATGATGTTTAGTGTTTTTACTTCAATATTCTGGAGTTCAAATTTGGGTTGTTGTTCTTTACATTTTTTGTCATTAAACCTTATTGTGACTCGAACCAAAGTGGTAAATGATGACTAATAGCTTGCAATTTCAGTTGATAACTTCAATATTTTGCCGTTGATAATACCGAGTTTGATAATATTTGTATTATTATACCTTATTGTGTAACCGAGTATGATAATATTTTCATCTTCAATTTCAGTTTTATCCTAGTGTGTTGTACATGAAAGCCATTTTTTACTAGTAAATGCTCATTTCATGCCTTTATGTAGGAGCAGAGACCCTAACTTAATACAATTCCAATCTGAAAAGTAATGGTGTAGTGGGATGTCATTAAAGTTATTTCCAATCTGAAATAACTGATGTTAACCAACTAATGCTAAAAAGGATAAGTAGTAATAATTAAAATAATAAAGCACTAATAATTTAATAAACATTATTCATTATTGTGGTCCTCCATGCCAGTAACTTCCAGCTTTGCGTGTAAACAGTTGACATAGATGTGCGAGTCCAAAAACCTGGAGTTCGGTAGTCGTTCTCTTGTGCTACGTCGACGCTGCAGCGTATCAAAGGCTTGAAGCAAAGGTTCTGGCTATTTGTTCATCCTTATTTCAGTGAGGCGGTGAGCTTCACTTTAATTGGTGCCCCAGTAACGTTTGTGGAATGGATTATAAGGATAAATTCATATGTTTGCTTGTTTTGTTTATTTATTTCGTATACTTTGAACTTAAACATGACATATATAAATATATTGGTAAAATTTTAATTTTTAGTTTGATGTTTCCTTGCCGTACCCATATCTTGATAGTTTGAGTTTAGAGTTTTCCCGTTGGTATCCGTCCTGGTGCTACTTAGACTAGTACTACTAAAAATTAAAAAGGTTGGGGGGGGGGGGGGGGGCAAGGCCTCCTACGCCTACAATGTTGAGCATTTATTTGTTGCTATTTTTACAAATTCAAGAGGTCTCAATAAGTGTTTTTACTCTATAATTAGACTCTTAATTTGTTTTATTTTAATAAGAGGTCAAAAGGAGCAAGTCAATTTTGTTAGTGGGTTTTTTAGACCAAGTTAATTAATTCAGTTCCCAAGTCTAAAACTTGCTTGTTAAAGACTGCCCGTGCCTTTCTTTTGTTAGATACTCCCGTCCCGCTATGATTGTTTCATTTTATCATTTCGGTTCGTCCCACTAAGATTGTCCGATGTCTTATTTGGTAAAGTTTGTGTGGTTCTAAATCATTCCTACTTTATTCTTACTTTATCAATTCAATATCAACCACATAAACCCACTTTTATTAATAATCGTGTCACCTTCTCTTGTCCCAAACTCAAGTCTAGGGACGGTAAACCCACTTTTATTAATAACCGTGTCACCTTCTCTTGTCCCAAACTTAAGTCTAGGGACGGAGGTAGTAATAAGGATTCATTTTTTGAACTTGTAGCAAAACTAAAAAGTCGCATGCCAAGTAGGACTGTAGGAGAGCAACGATCAGAAAGGAAAGAAAAAACGCTGCAAGAAGTAAAGAAAGAAAGAGAGGAGAGAAGCAAGGACCCCATTTTCGGTTGAGAAGGTTTCGTGATTGCAGCTATTGATGGAGTGAAAGAAAGGAAAAAACGGGAGGAGGAGGGAGGAAGAAAAGTAGAAAACGCTGCAACAAGAGCAGGGGCGCAGATCAGAAGAAACGGCAAAGCAATCTTCACCCTTTGGGTAGTTTTTCCATCTGTAATTTCTGCAATTTCAGTTTACTTTAATTGTGTTATCATTGCTAGATGAATACCAGTAGCTAGACCCTTAGATTTCCCAATTCCAGTTAATACTCTGTAGTTTAATTCATGAGATTTTTGTGCTTAATGATTTATTTGGCATAGTATTCTATATTTTTGTGAATCAATTTCAGTTGAATTCATGAGATTAGTTAATTTGAATGCATACTTATTTACTATTCTTATGAGTTTATTGCTAGTTGAAATCTGATTTGTTGAAATTAGGGTTCATTATAGTAGTAACTAGGTGCTTACGAACCATCTAGAGAAATATAGATACAAATTGAATATTCACCCGTTTGGGTAATATTATTCGTGTTGGCTAAAAATTCACAAAGATTAATGCAATTGAGCCTTGAATCTTAAACATTTGTTGTAAGATTAGGAATCAATTAGACTTAATTGACGGCGTTTGTCGCTTTTAGTTTGCGTTTGCAATTAATCTACGCCAACTATTATGATGAATAAATTACTTTTGTCAATGATCGATTAAACTTACATGAGTTAAAACTTGGAATTGGGAATCTCTATTTATATAATCTAATCTCTATTTACTTTTTAATCTATTTTATACATGCTCTGCATTTTTAATTTCTTTCGATTTAAAAATATTTGATTTTAATAATTTGAGAATTAGTAGTTAATCATCCAAACTTCCTGTGGGATCGACCTGAACTTTCCATATCTACGTGCTAGTTAGTTTATAATTTGGTGTTAAAACGACACACATCATATACCTACCTCCGTCCCTAAGTGGAAACTTCAATATCACAATACTTAGGATATAAAATGTCGGGCACTCTAAAGTTGATGATCACAAGGGTCTCACTAAAAAAAATGACTAATTTGTCACGAGAGCTTCTTTTTTTTACCAATTTGTCTCAAATGTTTTGTTTACCAATCCGATAAACCACCCTCTTTTTTTATCAATATGGTAATTTGGCCCTTTTATTGAATTTGTCACTTTTAAATTAATTATAAACGTTCTGGCTGATAAGGTTGGCAGAATAAAACAAATGGAAGAAATAATGGATTAAGTTATTGGATAGTAAATTAATGGACCGGCAAATAATAAAGACGGAATTAGATTAGTATGAGAAAATAACTACAAACGAATTAAAAATAAAATAAGCTGATTAAATAATTAATTGATGTAAATGATTAATTGTGAATAAATGTATAAATTTGTTATAAGTGGATAAGCTATGAATAAGTAGATTATACGGATGGATTAGTTATTAACTTATTAGTGAAATAAGTGAATAAAAGAAAAATGTAAATCTTATTTGATAATAAGCAATTAAAGACTAGAATAGTTTGTTTCCTTTGTTTTCTTTTTGTACTGGTATTTGTATAATTGACGATCATTCATTGTTTTTTTTCAAGACATTTAGAGGATAGTTATTTTTGGAAGTTTAGTCGTGCATAGCCTGTGCACTTGGTTATGTGAGAACCAAGTGTTGCGATAAAGCCCATGTTTCCTTTTGAAAATTCCCCCGCAATGTTTTCAAATGAAGTTAAAAAATAAAGTACGTAGTATTATTTTGTTTGCAGAATACCTCTGTAGCTCCATCGATGGCCGTTCAAAACATCTACATCATCACTGAGTTCACCGCGGAAGAAATCAAAGGATTTCTGGACAGAATCTACACCGGTATGGTCTGTGACCTAACGGCTCTACCGGAAATCGCAAAAGACACAAAGAGGATGAAGAGAATAGTCACTGGCCTCACCAACTCCCAACTGGCTAAGGTTGTGACCTACCCTTACCAGTTTTACAGTTTGACCGATGTGGCAGAGTTCTATCTCAATGCTGCCAGAGTAGATGCTACCATCACCTCCACCGTCAATCAACGAGAGGTTGAATTAACTGTAGGGAGCATCAACAGGTTCTTCAGCATTGCAGAAGACGAATCTGCTGCAGAAGGCTCACTCATCTGTCTGGAAGATGTAGAGCTCAAAACTGAGGCCTTCTGTGAGATCTTTTTCAGAACAGAATACCAGAATTTGCAGAAATGCAATGCCAAGAAGTGGTGTCTCAAGAAAGACTATGAGCGCACAGTGGACTTAATTCACAAGTGCCTATTTTGCAAGACAGGGTCTACCGACGACATGACCATTTCTGGTGCTAAAGCTTTGGTTGCTACTCGGCTGGGATTAAAGGTCAACTGGGGCTTGGTAATCTTTGAATGCCTCACCACATTCTTGACAAAGAGAAACGATAACAAAACTCTGTCAAGCAAAGTGGGCTATGGGCTGTTCCTGTCTGCATATCTGGAGAAAGCAGGAATCTCCTTAAGGAACAAGCTTGCTGTGGACTACAGGAAGGTTGCCTTTCTGCATACCACGTCCAATCGCAACATTGCCATAGCTGCGGAGAGGAAGAATAGTTCAACAAAAAAGACCTCAAAGAGGAAAGCACCTGAGGCACCTACCAGAAAAGCTCCAAAGAAGGCTTCCAAGAAAGCTAAAAGGATCAAGAGACCCTCAAAGAGAATAATTGAAAGTGATTCTGAATCTGAGGAGGAACAGACTCAAGGGGAACAAGATCAACATCTTCATATTCTGGAGGAACCGGTGTTACCAGAGTCTGTGCTACCAGAACTGACTGAACCAGAAGCTGTATTACCAGAATCTTCTCTACCAGAATTACCCACCACCACCACAGAAGAGGTAATCATTGACATCTCTGTTTTAGATAACCAATTTGCTCGGGTCCAGGCTTGGAGGACATGGAGATTAAGTCCACTTGAGGACCTTATCAGACAGGTCGATCATTACATGACAGAAGAACCCTATGTCCTGGAATGGATAGGGTGTCTAGACATTGTTAAATGTCTGGATCTTCAATTCCTTGAAGGAATTTTGGAAGAGAAGAAGTCAGCCCTGAGAGGGAACTCTATATCAGAAATGGTTGTACCACAACAAGAGGCCACATGCATTAACTTTGAGGATGCAGAGTTTGATGAGTGGTTGATGCGAAGAGGGGACACAAGGGAATACTCCCAACAGAAGAGCTACCCCACTGCCATGAATGAGCTCCGGCAGATTTGGGAACAAGAGAGAAAAGGGAAATTTGTTGCCTTCCCAGATTCACCTCCCTCTTCACCAGAAACCTTCTCTACCTTACAACAATCCACTACCGTCCTACCAAAAACACCCATTCCCACTTCCACAGGACCAGACCACCAACCCGATACCACCAACTTACCTACTCCACCTCCTACCCAACAAAAACCTCTTACACCCTTCTCTACACCACCCCAATCACCTTTTAACCAGAGCTCTGAACCCACTCCACACCATAGAACTCCATCACCTCAACCATCTCCACCTCACCAGAATACCCCTACACCACCTAAATCTGCTTCACCCACTACCCAACCCTCACCCAAAACCGTGTCAGAGCCTGCCCCTGATCCAGAATCACCAAAGACATTTTCCCATTATCATCAGGATCACTCAGAGTCTAATGATATGGGAGGATTCATCGGATTTGACAATGAAGAGGACGAAAGGGCAGAAATACAGAAGCTTCAAGAAGAAATCTCTTCTGGAAAACCATCTTCAACCAAGCCTACAACCATAACCCCCTCTACTTCTTACACTTCTACTCTGCCAGAATCCAAAGGCCTGGGAGGACCAACTAACACTGGTCACACATCCTCATCTGCTTCAAAACAGCCTACTGTACCTTTGGAAGCATTCATGGGTGTTGTAGCAGATCTTGAGACAAATCTGATGGGATGCGTCAAAGCCCTTGTCGATATACAGAAGAGCTCGTCCTACAAAGTTGCAGATATCGATACCTACATGCAAGGTGACCTTCGACAGATGATAACAGAAGACAGCAACAGGCTGATCGGTGTTGTTGAGGACCAGAAGATCTTCAAGAAAATGACCAATGAAAGATTGGATTCTCTATCAAAATCTGTCATGGCCATACAGATTGCTGTGTCAACACTGCAAGGAAAGGTTGACAGTCAGAATACTGCTCTCTCCTACTTGATCAAGACGCTTGATGAGTTTAAAACCTATAACAAGGAGAAGAGCAGGCAAATGAACCAGATTCAGGTTCTTGTCCAAGAGTTGAAGGACCAAGCCAATAAACAACAAGACTCGCTTGATGGGTTAGCTAGTGTCAGCCAGACTCTGCCTAATGCCATTGAGGACCTCAAAAGTAAGCAGAAGAATGAATTTCAAAAGCTCCAATTCCTCATTGGTGATCTTGCTAATGCCAAAAAGGGGATAAAAGAGGAAGCAAGTCCCAGAGCATCCCAGAATTGACCTCCAGATTTCCATGCCTAAACAAAGCTCGACCTCACTTTCCTCAGAACAGGTCGAATGGTACTATAAGCAGAATCGTCTCAAGAAGCCTGCAATTCTGCCACCACCTCCTCTGCCCAAACTAGGAAAGAAGTCCAAGTATGCTACATTCGGCTTGACAGATTGGCAAAGGCTAAATTTGACATTGCTACCAGATGGCTCTCTAGAGATCTAACATGGTGGATCCATTGATGAAGCAGAGAAATGGTGGAATTGGCAGGGAAGAACAAGAACGAAGCATTTTGCAACTACCTAGACTGCCAGCTAACACCAGAGCGGGACTATTTCATCCGTCCAAAGGTAAACGACTAAACCCGCTACTCAAGGAATTATGGTTTAATCATTTTGGACTGCCCATGTAATTTACCCCACTCTGGTTTATTACTCGCATCAGACTTCCTACCACAGGTTGCCATTCTGAAATTTTCCCTTTCCGAAAGTTTTGACTTGTTTCTAGTTCAGTAATTCTCTGTTATGAAAGTTTGATCAAGTTTTACTATTTAGGAGCATGCTTGTTGGACCAGTCATGGATTTGTGCTAGGTATAGCTCGGAACCTCTACAGTATGCTTGACATGCTTTCCTATATGTCTAAAAATGTGCTCGGCATTGTACTAGCTAATTGTTTCCAAATTATTTCTTCAAATTTGAGGTGATGTATTTGACTTCAGTTTCGTTTTTCAGGTATGCTAACCTGTCTTTTTTTTAGAGTTCATTTTTTCCCATGCCAGAGATAGTACTTGTGAATCGATTTAGAGAAATGGAGACTTATTTTTCAATGCATGTTAGTTAATTAAAAAAATGGTATTTAACCTAATTAACTAGGTTGGGTATTTAACCACCCGTTAGTATGGAAATGGTAGAGGCCAAGGGCCAAAGTCACTTTTTGGCAAATTTCAGTCCAAGTAGTAATTATTCCATGTACTAATTACTTTGTATTCAATGAATTAGATTACTTGAGGTAAAGCTATGGCCAACAAAACCAGGCTTGTAACTGTTATGTCACAATTGTTCTCACATCTATTCAGTTACATTAGTGCTCAAAATTTTAGATTCTAAAATAAATTTAAATACCATGGGGCACACATATCACATCACCAGTGGATTTCACCTGTGCTTACTCTTGCAGATTTAGAACTTGTTTGATGCCCGATCTGTGATTTCAATACATGTGATGGTAAGCTAATTAAGTCTGCAATGGGGTTTTCATTGTCTGAGAGCAGTATATTTATGGATGTTTAAGAACTTGATGAACAGGACATTCATCTACATATTGGGTCCCTATTGGTGCCATTTTCAGGAAAAGTTTTTTTCAATTTTTGATATCTTTGTGTTTCAGGACATGATAAATTTGAGACTCTAGGTGCCTTAGTTCAGACATACTGTTGGCAACCGGGGGAGGTATAGCATGGCAAATATGGCATGCTTTGGATGAGTTAATGGTAGGTAGGAAATTTTTGTACATCGATTCATTTGCCCATAATTATTGCATGTAATTATTAAGTTTCTGGTCTGTAATACCTACTTTTTGTAGCATTGGTCTTACTTCTTCCTAATCAGCAATGAATTGCAATGAATCTATCGTGTTGCTTTTAGTCAATTATTGCTGCAGTTTGGCTTAAAGAAAAAAGCAAACTGATGTTGTGCTACTCAAAGATAGTGTGAGTTCTTATGGAGAATATGAGTGCAGTATTTATCAGAAAATAAGGCACACAAAGAAGAGAGTCACATATAATTGGAGACGTACACCTCTAGGGTTAAAATGTATCCTAGAGAGCTCAATACTCAATAGCATTCCTAAAAGAATGATTGCTAATAACAGAGTGATACTAATAAATATGCCATAGTTTCAAATAAGTATTTATAGGAGGCTGTTTTGTAGTGTTATCATAACAATAAACAAATTAGGATTGCCCTCACTAAAAGCCTAAAGCACCTGGCTTAGGTCATGCTAAAAAACACACATTGAACTATAATGAAATGATGAGTAATAACTTACATGTACCTTACTAGAAGTACTACAAGAATGAAGATATGGATTAAGAGCCCAAGAATGCTTTTGGCATTATCAGGGATTCGTAAATAAGCCTAATTTGGCAAACAATTTAATTTATAGATGCAATTCAGTTGAAAAATGAATACGCATTCTAACCAAATAACCCATAGTCATATATCATTGGAGTGCACGTTGATATAACAAATACCAGTGTGTCGTCTCTGAAATTTGGTCTAGGTTTTTCTTAGGATTCCCAACAATCTTTGCAATTTCCTAAATTTTATGAGGTTTTAAAGATTATAGAAAAAGTCATATACAGACATAAGTTTCTCTTCACCTTTTGAAGAGATAGTACTTCAAATTATATCCTTTTATGCATGCTTTATTTTTACTTTGCCTTTTGTCTCTCACCTTAAATGAGATTGATCTTTTCTTCTGTAGTTATCCCAAGAAAGAAGGAAGAGAGTTTTCTAGTAAAAACAGTTGATGGTCCTGCACTATTAATTTTTCATTTGGGAGCTAGTCATTGGCGGTTCTGATAATCTCTGTCAATCTCTTATTTTGAAGGCGTTACATAACATGAAAATTTAAGCATCCCAATCATCTTGTCTAGTTTTATGACATCTCTTATTTCATCTTTGTTTTACTTTATCTTTGTATTTGGGATTATTAATTTTGTGAAAGTCATGCGAGAATATAAAATGAGGACATAGAGTATAACTTTCTAGCTAAAATATCTTGAATGGTAAAATACTACACTCGTTCTTTTAAATTTAAATGGTCATGCAACCTCACTACTTAGTTTGGTGAGTTAGATGGTGGGGGTCATATTGATAAAACTAATACTCCTCTGTATTTAAAAGTCTGCCACACTTTCCTATTTGGGATGTATTTAAAAGTTTGCTACACTTTCCCTTTTTGGTAAATTTTTCCTTTAAAAATACTCATTTACCCTTACTTTTCTACTTTTTATATTCTCTTTCCTACTTTTGTACTTTCTCTCCTACGTTTTCTATACTATTCATTACCCCTACAATTCTTCTCTTAAATCTTGTGCTAACACCTAATGTAGAGATCATTTAAATACGGAGGGAGTATTGCTTCAGAGTATTGGTCATCTAATACTTACCTAGTTGATCTATTGTTAGAATTGCTCTGAAAGGGTTCAATGGGAGGCAAATTGAGGACTAGCACTTACCGGGATTGTTAAAAGAAAATTTGCAAAATAGATTGCTTTGTTATTGGCCTGTTTGGTAAATGGCGTTTCAAACTTTTGGCGGGTTTGACCAAAATTGACGTTTTTGACTGGACAAAATGTTGAAATAAGGCGTTTGGTTGATGGCGGGTTACAACAGCGTTTTGGTCCGAAACACTGAAAACCAAGACGCTACAAAAGGAAGCGTTTAGGGTTCAGTGGTTCTGAATTAATTATTCATTCTCAACTGTACCCTTCCCTATTCTCCATTCCATATTCCGACCTTTCCTCTGAAGCAAAAATCATCGGGCAACTATCGCAAGCTTCTTCCCAATAAAAGAAACCCCAGGTTATCTCAAGCTTTTTTGGTGTATTCTACGATAGTATTTCTTTTCATAATTTCATCCATTCCTTGCCGATCTCAATTTTCTCCCCCCTCTGTATTCTTCTCTCTCGCTATTCTTCAATCATGTCATACAGATGGTGAATGCAGATCATGACGACAAAAATGGTAGCTGTGAGCATCTCCTCCATCTCTCCTCTGCATATGAAGTGCTTACAGCTATGATTCCAAAAAAATTGCATGAAGCTTCGACATCAATCATCTGCAGGCAGCTAGGGTTGTATACGAACCGAATCGAGTCGAATAATGAGATTTTGTATTTGTATTTGTTTATTTTTTTCGAATACGAATTCGAATTCAAATATGAAATGAACATTAATTTCGATTTGTATTTGTATTTGTTTAACAATACGAATAGTTAACGAATCATATACGAATATCGAATCGATTTGAGCATAGGTTAAATATTAGTCAAATATAACTTTAAAATAATTTTTTTATACTCCGTATTGTGTATGTTGTAAATGCATGCTATGACATAATATGTGTATTTAGATTTTAAATTTAACGAATCAATGCATTTTTTGATGATGCACAATATACTAAAGTGAATTAATTTTATGATGATTAATAAATATAAATCTATTTCAAACTTTTTGGAATAAACACTAACACACACATATTAGAAATTTTACTTATAATGTGTGAAATAAGTTGATAATTATATATATCAAAGTCAACCAACTCTAATTTTATTCTTCAAATCAAATACATAATTATTTGTATTGTATTTGAAAGACATTTGAATCAAAAAATTGTTTTGTATTCGTATTTATATTCTAGGTTAATACAAATGGGCTTGTAATCTGTATGAAAAAATGTTTATATGGGCCACACTTTGAGGGTATTACTATCCTTTTAAAAATTATTAGTGTTATTACTATTATTATTAATATTGATATTAATATTACCATTATTATTAATCGAATATATTTGGTTAATATTCGAATCGAATACACTGATATTCTTATTTGTATTTGATAACAACTCGAATCAAATTTAATATTCATATTTGTATTTGAATTTGAATTTTCCGAATTCGAATCGTCCTATACGAATTCAAATCGCGAATCGAACATAAATTATTTGATTCATTTACAACCCTATCTGCAGCTAGGGTTATTTTTAGTCCACCTATCCATTTTTACTCCTTTAAAACATTCAGTTAACTCGTTCATTTTTTTTCCTGAAAAGAACTCCTCCATTTTTAGTACACCTGTTCGTTTCGATTATTATATTTTTATTTAATTAATTTTAAAATTATTAGTTAACTCACTTATATATTAATAATATATACTTATAAGATCATACGTAGTTCGAGTGTTAAACAAAACTACAACAAAGAAACAAATAATACTCCGTAGAATTTACTAATGTCCTTTTTTGTCTTTTTATCTATTAACCGCTAAAAGCAAACAGTTAATTTACCAAATATTTTTCTGTAACCCGCCAATCTAATCCGCTGGTCAAATCCGCTGATTCAATCCGTTGTTTAGAACCCGCTAACATTATCCGCCAACCGTCAACCGCTGATTGCCAAACAAGCCCATTATGTGAAGTCGAACTGGCCGTTTATATTCAAATCCATATTATATCTGATCTTAATAGGAAGAGAAAGGATTACTTTTGATTGTGATGCTATCATTTATAATAATCTCTACTATGTGCTTATGCGAGAACTATTTGAAATATATAGTTATTTACTCTTATAACAATATGGTTTAATTCATCTTTATTTGTCATCTATGCAAAAATACTTTGTTTATTATTTATTTGACTAAATTTATTAGAAATTGTTTTAATTTCAGGTATTGAGAATTACCGATTAAACATGGAAAGAGAAAGAGGGATTTGAACAAAAAATGTAACTTTGCAATTTTTAGGCCAACTTCTTATTTTATATTTGGGCTTGTCAAGTTGTCAATATGCATTAAAATCGAAATCTGAAGTTTTATAAACCCATAAAATATTTTTACAATAATGCTTGATGTACCCACTCTTATACTCATCTTATATCCACCATGTTTGTCAAGTGTTTTTTTGTCTGTGAACCTAATTCACAGTCAAGAAAAAAACACTTCACAAACATAGGTAGATACAAAAGTGGGTATAAGAGTGGGTACAAACATCATTTTTTATATTTTTATGTTTTACTTGAATTTGGAATCTATTTGGGCGTATGTGAGTTATTAAATGACTATTGTCAGAGCAAGTCTATACTAACGACAAATATAAATAGGGAAATTCTCTAAGATATGATTAAAACCTAGCTAGGAAACACAGAAACTTTTTATGGCTCACGTTTCCACGTTTCGGAAACTCGGAAGCGTTTCGGAAACTCGGAAACTTCAAATTCCCGTTTCGGGGCCGTTTCCGTAATTAAGAAAAATTTGGAAACCCGTTTCACTACGTTTCGGAAACCTTGGATTCCAATTTTTTTTTTTTACTTTTTCAAAAGATTCTGTGGTGGAAAATAATTTTTTATAGTGTATTTTTGTGGTATTTCTCAGCGGCAATACTTGTTACATTTCGTAACGCAATGTATTGCTAGAAATGTATTACTCCGTACATTTTATGTTTAATTATGTACTAATATGAAATAATATCTAAATTCAAACATGTAGAGGGATTTTATTATTTAGTTACAAAACAAATTATATTAAAAAAACATGTGCATATGGAAAAACTTGTGTACATATATTAAAAATATTTATAAATATATCCTTATATTTTATAATATTTACGCGTTTCCCCCACGTTTCGTGTCCTATATTTTTTAGAAATTACGTTTCTCGCGTTTCCGATCCCGTTTCCCGTTTCACGTTTCCCGTTTCCCGTTTCCGTGCTACTTAGATTAAAACTCACTGAGTTTTCTTAAATATAACTTAGTTTTTAGGCATTTGTATGTTCAAAAATCCAAAAAAGGAAAATTTTGTTAATATTTAAATGATGAATGACGAAAATACCCTTATTTAAAATATGTGCATTTTGCACTATTTTTGTCTGATTAAAATTACTGCCAAATTTAATGCACATACGGTAATAATCATTGCACTTCTGCCAAAATTAATTCTCTTCTAAATCACTTTAGGAAATTATTTTTAGTTTTTATTTTTAATTTTTTTATACTTAGTAATTTTATTATTTTACGTCTAATTAAATATATATTGTGTTTCATGGCGAAATTATTGCTCTGTGTTACTGCACTACCGGTTATAATCATTGCACAACAAACTCTCTTAATGCATTTATTCATTGCCATTTATATCTCCGTTCTCTTTTAATTGCAACATTGGACTTTTTGCACTATTCATGTATTTTACTTTGACTATATTTTATTGATTAATGTATTATAAATTAATTTTTTTTTAAATATTGTTAAATTCTTCTCATTCTAAATTTCCAAAATATGAATTTTTTAAAATTTTTACTAATAAGGAATGAAAGATATTAATGGTCAAACTTGTGCATTGGCAAACGTGAAATGTTGACCGTTGCAATTAAAAAGGAACGTAAGTATAACATATATTTCAATGTCCAACAAATTCATTCATTCACTGCCCATATAGAACATTATTTATTGCTATATTCACTTCGCACATGCAACCATATCTATTTTCATGTTCACTGTACGGTGGACACTGTCTATGTTCATTGTCCATGTTTAATGCCTATGAACCCTAATTTCAAAAATAGGAAAAAAATTGAGAATAGAGGCAGGCAGCTCAGCGGCGGCGGTGAGTTGCAGTGCGGCCGTGCAGATGGAGGCGATGGCTGGGCAGCGCCGGTGCCGCGGCATGGAGACGTCTGAGCGTCGCGGCATGGAGATGGTCGCGGCTTGGAGACAACTGAGCGCCGCGGTGTGGAGATGGCCGCAGCGCTGCGGCATGGAGGCGGCGGCGGCCGCTGGTAGGCACATGCATGCGGACGGCCGCGGCGATGGTGGAGTAAGTGTCGAGCGATGGTGGCGGCGGGTGCCGCGGTGTCAGGCTCGCGGATGCTGCGGCGACGGGCTGGTGGATGCCGCGGTGAAAGGGCGGCAGAGCGGGTGGTGCTGCGGCAACGAGGGCGGGTGATGTCGTGACATTGGTTGATGGCTAGTGTTTTGAGAAAATGAGTCGGAGGTTAGGGTTTTATAATAATAATAATTAAGGGCATATCAGTCCATAATAATTATTTGTTTATTAATTAATTAACTAATAATGTCATATATTGAGAAACTGGATGAGTTTTAGTCATATCTAGGATAATTATCTCATATAAATACTGCTCTGTAATAGTTAGTACTATGCTAGTACATGTTAATAAGCTATTTTGGCAGCAAAGAAATATGTTAGTGTTGCTCTATACTAACTGAATGCATACAGCAATAAAACATTCGTCTGAATTGCTTATATTTTTGTTCTTGTCAAATGATTCCTATTCCAACAGTTTATATATTATATACCAACTGTTTCCTACCGTTGGTATATGCCAATTTGTTTGTTGTGTTATTTGTCGGCAAGCCTACCAGAGTTACCTATTCCGCTGCAAGCCAAATCTATCAAGATTTGTGCCAACTTGGTGAGACCGGCATATTCTGTCTCACAAGAAAACATTTTAAGAACAGTCTGCTCACTCCTACTCTAGATTGTTTCTCTGTATGTTTAATCGGAATCAACAATGTTCCTTAATAACCCTTACTATTAGTCATTTAGCGAAATGTAGAACAAACGTTGTATACAGACCTAATTGTAGCATTTCATATTTTAAGTTCTTCATAAAATAAATTGAGATTAACAACCTAGACGCAAGCGGTTTTTGGATTTAGTCAATATAATTACTTTCCTTTTAGATTATTAACCAAGAGAAGCATGCATTAATAATCTAAAGTTACTACTTGTGAAACCATCCATAATTAACCACTTGTTCATTGATCATGTCTACTGGTAATTAATGTAAAGTGTTTACCAATTATCACTTAGCTATACCCTAACTACCCTAACATTAATATAGAAACTTGAGTAGGGAAAAATTAATACTGAAAAAGAAAAGTTTAAAAAAATAACTCACAACTTTAACATTCAACAAGCTTCAAAGCAGCAAAACATGGATACAGGAGTTTAGCTCCTCATTGGGAGTTTAGACATGGTAGAAATATAAGGAAAATACCAATCTAGACTAAGCTCAAATATATGGAAGAATGGATATGTAAATGGGAAGGAAAAGATGCACTTTTATAGAAGTTTTGGTAAGTTTAAGTTGGATACCCGATCAGTTATAGAGGATAACGGAGCGGGCATCCTTTGCAGTAGCCAGGAAGGTCACATTTTGCATCATACCTGACCAGGTATAAGACAAAAATC